GGGAAAGAGACATAAGATTTTCAACAATAGCTTTTGATCTTGGCATATTAGAGTGCAACTGGCTAAACACATGAAAGCACTTGGGCTTTTTTTTTTTTTAAATAAATCCCCGTGTATTATTTAGTAACCCCCATTATGGGCCTAGCTGCAGATTGCTAGAAAAACTTTTCCTCCCATTTTTTTAAAAGAGCAGACAAGCCACAAACACTCCACCCTTTGATCACATGCAGATCAAAAGGACACGTTCCCCTTCTGCCTTTCTCTAGAACACCCATTGAAAGCCCATCTGATTCCAGATTCAAATTTAGCAATCTTAAACTAATTTTGGAGTAGACAGAACTGTAAACAGATGCAGTCTAGCTTTTAGCTTCAGGACCCCGCTTTCAAAGAATGTGAGCAGCCACAACCCTTAACTTCAATGGACATGGGCCTTCAGGTTGCTGCCCATATTCTGTGCTAATTTTCTTCATTCTGTTTATGACTTCAAAGTTTAAAAAGAAAAATTAATGTTTTTCAAAGCTAATAATTAAATGTCTGACTCCTGCACTAACAAATTCCATAACTGCTCCTTCTATATACTTCTATATACTTGATGCACTAGGTCTACAATTTATTTAAAAAAAAATAAACACAACAGTGTATATAGTGACAAGAGCTTAAATAGCTGAGTGGCTGTATGTGACTGACACACAGAGTTTGGAGCAAACTGGTGCTAACAGATTTCTAACTTGCTATTGCTAATTGCCATCAACAAACAGCAAGGGCAAAGATCCACTGGTCATTAAAAAAAACTCAAGTATTCTCCTGCTTCAAGTGTAATGGTCATTTTGAGGAATTTTTATTTTCAAGGAGAGAGACATCAGGCTGTTTTTCCTCTTCACCTATTCCTTGTCATCTATTTACCTTCAAAGACTTGTCCTACTCAGAAAGGAGGAGAAAAATAGGAAAATAAATAAGCCTACCAGCCCTGTTCAAGTCAACAAGAGTCTGGCTCCTTGTGTCATCATGGAGACTCTTTCCACTGTCTTGCTCCAATTGAATTTGTTTAATCCTCACAGTTTTGGTCACCATCTGGCTCATTTTGTTGTCTATGCAGAGACTGTATGACAGACTTCCATTGACCGCAACAGGAACTCTTTGCTGAGTGATTTGATAGCCAGCCTGTCAACAAAATTAGCTTCATACTCAAATAAAACATTCACTTTTGAAAAAACAGCAGCATAGCCAGGTCCAAATATTACAGTTTAAGAACAAAATGGAAAATGCAACATCTTCTATAGTGACCTATAATAAGAGAATAGAACACATGTACATGTAAATTCAGAAGTTACTTTGCTTAGTTGTTAAAGAAGCAAGCTAGAAGATGAGTCTGGAATTTGATACAGCTGTGAGAAGCTGGAGGCCTGGAAAAGATAAAAGCACTCTTCAATACAGGCAAGTATAAGAAATAATAAATAATCAACTACACAACCACTTGTCAAGGATGATATAAATTTCACCGATATGGCATTGGGTCAGGAAATGGACCATAAGAGGTTCTTCTATGCCTGTGGTTCTGTGATCATGCTAAATCTTGTCTGAAGTCAGCTACCATACCACCATGCCCAAGCTGGGACTATCACTCATCCTCCCATCAGGCTGAATATCCCTCTTGGCCTGTTTTACTCATTTGAGAGGAGGAGTGGGAAAGAGGAGGAGGGTGGGGGGGGGATGGAAATCAAGATAATGAGAAAGGTCAATTTAATGATTGAAATGATTTAACAGAGGGACTCTGCAACCCCACATAAGGCATACAGCTGAAAAATGCCACCTCGTGTCTGGAACTCCACTCAGAGGGAAAATTGCTAGCCAGAAAAGGGGCTGCCAGTGACAAGGAATTGGAATAACTGCAATGATGTAAAAATACAGATGTGAATTGGGAGGAGCATTTGTATGTTTTGTGGGGAGGAAGAACTTACTCTAAAATGTAGACATGGTGACAGTGCATTAGAATGGAGAACACTGGTCTGGCCCTTGTGAACAGCTCAGTTTATATATGCAATGAAGTGAATGACCTTCTAGTCATAATCACTATAAGAAAAATAAAGTAACTGGCTTTATGCAGCCTATAGTAATCACACAGCTCTTCCCATCTCCTAAAACTTCTCATTAAAATGATTTTTCTTAAAGCCTGAAATAGTGAGTGACAATAAATAACAAGAATCCTATTTCCCATCCAAAGCCCCATTTTCAGGAGTAATAATAATTCCATTGTCAAATGACCCTAAGAGCTGGATTTATTTTATCTGTTCTATACAGCTCATTAGCTTATACCCTACATGTTATTACAGGGTCCATGACTAGACCATTTCACTTCAAAATGCAGGGCTGGCAGTTCATTGTTAGTCCTTAAACTGCAGAAGGCAGTCAGAACAAAGCCAGAATTATGTATTTCAAGCTAATAAAATGTGTCAGCATCTCCTTGACCAAATTTACATGCTTATCTGACCAGAGAATCTTGCAACTCATGTCTGCAGATTATGGCAGACCACTTAGTGCTGTACAAACCTTCTTCCACTTCACTCTTCTCCTCCAAACACATGGATGTGGTTTCTTTCCTATGACAACATTTTTCCATACAGCTTCTATACAGTATACTGATAGCAGAAGAAATCACAAGAATATGAGAGATAGTTTCAATTTAGCAACAGAAGCACAAAAGGTGGCTTGCAAACAAGTCTGTAAAGTTTTTGATATTTCTTTATGATGTGTAAAGGAATGCTGAAAGTAATGTTTATTTCCTGCTATTTCACTTTCGTCTCCTTCAGGTCTGGAAATCGCTTTAAGGTAATTTAACAAGTAAAAAAATAAGTATTGGCAATTCAAACTGCTAAGTTTGCATTTTGCATTCCCAGTTACTCACTATAGAGCCCCCAAGAAAAAGGCCTCTTAATGGCTCACAAATATTAGCACTGTTATCCCCAGAAACCAAATCAGTAATTGCACCAAGTTCACAGAGGAGCCACATGTTCCCAACTTAGAAGAAAACAGAACAGAAATGTCTACTGAGTTTTCTGTAATGTCACAATGTCCAATGCCTGAACAAAAGAGAAAGAGAGGAAGTAGTTTGGTTAATAATACAGCACCTCTACACATTAATTTGGGACCTGAGAAATCTCCCACTCTGCTTCTCTGGATGTCCAGATCCTTCAACTAAAGAGAGGATAAGGTAACATGCCTGATCTTTCTCAGATAAAACAGAAACAGATTTTTTGCAGTTATCAAATCTTCAATTCAAAATCAGAGAAAGTAAATCTAATGTCATCCCTTTGACGGGTTAGTGTTAAATTAATCATTGAGTACAAATAAGCTGACAGAAGTACCACAGAACTTTAAACTTGGAAAGGTTTAATTTCATTAAAATAGAAAAAGAGGCTCAAACACTGCCGCATCCTTTTGCAATTACATTAGTCAGGTTCTTAAATAATTTCAGTATTTCTACACCCATATCAAGTGTGGCACAATATATTTGACTTCCATTAACAACTTCTACCAAATACGAAAGCTACATGCAAACACCAAGATTCAGTTTTTTAGGTGTTTTTGGGGTTCTTTTTTGAGAAAGTTTTAAAGGGAGATTAAATATTTTTAAGTCCCTAAGCACATACAAAAAAGACACTATTATGTTTCTATCACTGGAACCTGTGTTTGTTATACATTCACTTTAAATGAAGGACTATTATCTGACTGCTTTTACCCTAACAGACAATTAGTACTGAACACCAGGAATGGAGAACTTAAGGGGCAAAGCAGCTCGAGCTCCCAATTCAATTACATTAAGCTGCTGGAATCTACAGCTAAGCAAGGAGTCAGCAATCACAGTAATCATATTTAATCAGTGAGCACTAGGGTACAGCTGCCTATTCATCCAGGCACAGCACAGCACACTGTCTGAAAAAACAGAAAAGCATCTCTTCACTCATACTCGCAGACCTGTCCTTTCCTATAGTCATAAAGGGACCAGCTATACTGCATACTTACAGGCAGATCTGCATAGAAGTAGTGTTTTCTGTCAAACAAAGATTTCTTGTTTATGCTGCAGTTAAGTGCCAGGCCTGTCATCACTGCAGCTTCTACACATCTCCTGTTGAGAACCTAAGGAAACACGACACATGGTTGTGCTCAGATACTTAGTGTGTAACAAATGTGTATCCCACACATTGCCTTATATGGAGCATATATTCAACTTTTCTTGCCTTCAGCCATCATTAGATCTCTGTCTGTGGGTAGTTCTTGTTCATCATTAAAGTCAAGGTAGCTTCAAATTTGAAAAGCTTTAGGATGAAGAAACAAGCCATTCAGTCATTCTCTCCTGCCACATAAGGAGGTGTGCACTGTTCTGCCTTGCTACTTTTGCAAACGTTCCAGCACTTTTGAGCCTTTGAGGGTGCAAGAGACAAATCATAGCAAACAACAACTGACTTGTAACTAGCTGTCAACTCATACTGGGACCTGGAAACACAGGGGATTTGCATTAGAAACTGCAGTGCCATTTCAGTAAAACACTTTAGAACTCCAGTAACCAGAACCACAGTGAATTCATGAGTATCTACACAGAGATTTCAATGCTTTGCTTAACCAGGATGAAATGAAGCACACTTATATGCTTAGTTAAAACAGAACCAAAGAGACATCAATTGATCCCATGGCTACAAGTATACATGCATCTCCTGTACCAAGGTAACCCATGGGACTAAGGTTCTTGGGGCATGTCATGTCACGTGATCTGAAGGCTCAGCAAGGACTTCATGAAGAAATAAAGGAGTTAAATAAAATTTCTCACCATGGACTTATCATTCTCCACACTACACTTTCCTATCTCCTCAGCAAGGTCAGGATGCAGAGGGCAAAGAAAATTCCACTCCAAAAAGTACTAACAAGCAGTGTTTAAAAGTAATGTTGTTGTTGTTTTTTCAAATGTGCTCTCATTAATTCAGCAGTCAGTTTAACTAACATTAAATGGATAAAACTGAAAAAACAACAACTTAATTTGTCTTAGTGCAACTCTGACATGCTCACACAGTACTTTAAAACAGGAACAGAACTTTACGCATCTTATTCTGCACTGTACAGCTGCCAAGAAGTGAATTTTCAACACACTAAAGGGGGACATTATGTTAAAGAATCTACATTACTTCATCTGCGCCAACTAGAACACAAAGGCTTAAATAATGGTTTCTTCAGTGTTTCTGACAGTATTTACTTTTTGCATCCTCCAGCCTGATTTTTGAAAACAGATTAAGCAGCAGTATGTTTCCCATCATCCCATGTCTTCAGCTGGAAAAGGAATCTCTTTGCTTTACTTATCTAATATTTTTAAAAATCAAAATACTTAGAGAAAATATGAAAAATTCTCCATGTAAGAGAAACTTAAAAATAACTTATACAGACAAGAAATTAAATACTCAAGCCAATTAACGAGGGAACTTTCAGATCTTTAGTGTAGCTATATATAGCTAACTAGAATACATCATCTGTTCAAGCATATTTTATTTATTAAAACATTTAAAGGATACATAAAGCAAATTTTAAATGAGAAAAAAGGATGAACAATTTCCCTTTGAAATATTGATCTGCAGTAAAATGAATGCAATTAGTCCTCACTGTAAGCTGAAGTAAAATTGGTAACTACAAAATACTAATTTACTTTAGATTCATAGCTACAGTTCATCATATAGTAAACGCTTCTGTTTTAAACAATTACATGCTTCCAGATTTTTTTACTGTTTAAGAAAACTTTTAACAGTGCAAGTAAAATTGTTTGATTTTGAAAATATCATATTTCTAAACACATAGGCAAAATTTCCTCCTACTAAAGCCTTATGGCACGATCCTGTTCAGCTTTACAAACTAGTGAGGACCATGCCAGTCAGCCTTTTTAACAACTGGTCACCAGAAATCATTAAGCCTCCGTAAGGACTGTGCAGACTCAAAACACTGTGTCGAAGTAGTGAACTGGTGCCTTGCTACATTTCCTGACAGTGTAGGACTTGTGACTGACTGTAACTGGAGAATGAGACAAAATCCAACTACTGAGTCACAGTTAGCAAGAGACTCATAGCACATTCTTCAAATACAGGTGGGGTTTAGCTAATGACAACACTAAAGCTACTCCCTTTGACCACCCACTCTTCAATTTTTTCTTCAAACAAGGTAGAATATATCATACTCATCAGTCTAAGCAGTAACACTGTTTAGAGGTGAAGGACATCATTCCCACCTACATACCACATATACCCATGAGAAACTTTTTGCACTACTGCTGTTGAACCATTTTGATCTGGGGACAAAACTGGCATTGAAATTTGAAGTATTGTTTATTTTGTATGTAGCGTTATTAAGCATTTAGATGACTGTAATGTGTATGTGCTCCCAGTGCACTGGGTCATACTAGCTAAATCATTGTACATGCACCATTACTCACTCCCTAGTATCACTTCCTGTATTGCCACTTTATCGGCCTTGGTGGTGATCAGAGGCATTACAAAGCAGATCTCTGGCATACTGAGATGTCTACCACACCAATGTGCTTCCTCTGCCCCATTTTATTTTAAAAACATAATAACGATCAGATAACCCTTTACCTCCTCAAAAATCAAAACTTACTGCTCTAATACTCCATTTCTGAAGTGACTACTACTACCTATTCTAGTGATCAGGGTTGTGAGCATAAAGCAGAGTTGTTTAAGCAAACTACTACTTTTCCTTCAAACAAGCCTAGCTTTTCAAATAATCTGCAGTGATAAACATCAATTCAGTATGTGCAACTTCCCATACTAATGACCTAGAGTAAGTCCCCCAAGCTTGTTTATGCAGTAAGCTGTTATTAAGTTGACAGCTTTGACTAGCACCAAAGATTTAAATTACTGGCTTGAACAGACAAGCTGCCAGTCTGGTACGTTAGTGAAGTGCTGGCCCTGAAAGAAAGCTATGTAGTTCCTGCAATAGCCATGGACAAAACACAAGAGCCTATAAAGCCTTCTTAAATATTTCTGGTCTTCTAAAATGGAAGCATCTCTCCAAGGTATTTAAACAAGACAGCTATCACAAAAGGAAATGTAGATTGTTTGTATTGGGAACTCATGAAAAACCTTAACAATGGCAAGACAAGCCCAGTTTCCCGTGTAGCTGTGCTACCTGCCAGAGCACCATGGTAACTGAGTGCTAAAGGAATGAAAGAACAAACCAACCAAGATCTCTCTTTTTCTGATACCCGTCTATTCTTTACATCTAGTTCACAAATGGAAAGATTCTTTTTAAAAAATTATCATCTTTATTTGCAAGGTCAGTTTAGTCGCTACCTCAGTTTTAAATACAACACTATTCAACAACTATATAAAACCATGCACAATGCCTTCAGTAGCAAAAATTCCCACCAAAAGCAATTTTAATAGTTTTCTTTAACAGCAGGTTTACTCCTTATACTATTACATTAAGGAAAACTGGCCTGCTTTTAGGTGAAGATGTATATTTCTGTATTTAGTAGATGATAATTTTTACATTTTTTAAAGACAGTAGGTATGCAGCTTCTTGTTTTGCTAATGACTATTAGATAGGACAACTAGGGGAAAAAAAAAGAAGCATCATCTAGATCTCTCTCCTGGAAAAAGTTTACTTTTACTACCTTGAAAAAAAATAAAGTAACCCTGTGCCATAACAGTGGCACCCAGGAAGCTTAAGTTGTGGAACAAAGTATTCCTTGTACTAAAACCAGTCAAGTCAAAATAATACGGTGGATATTTAAAAAGTTTTTTATTCTAGATCACACATTTTAATAAAGTAGATTTCATATTAATTGGTTATCTTAAGACCTGCATTCCTACTTATACTCATGAAGAAATCAGCATTAATCAGATTAACTACAGAACTGTTTATCTAAGAAACCCTTAATTTTAGCTCTTTTTCATGCAAAATAACAGGTGGAAGAAGGAAGCAGTACAATGTACTTAGCCAGCTCTCTATAGACCAGACAGTAATCTTGAGAAACCTTAACAGATACGTCTAATCATATTCCCCAGTACTTCTATCTCCTATCACCCTGATTTTCGTTTGCTTCCACCAATGGATATATTCAGTATTACTATTATTGCTGTGCTGAGTACCAACTTGCTCCAATATATAGCTCTTTCAAATGCAATAATAAGTTAAACTACAAAATAAACCACTCTTATCTACTTAGTCCAACTGTAATTGTGACTGACTGCTCAGTCTGACACCGCAGATGAGCACTTAAATGCAGCGTTCTTCCTTGGCATCCTCACATACACACAGAAGGTTGTAACTAACTGCCTTGTGGCACACTGTACATTTCAATAAAGGAAAAGCTAACCATTTCCCAAACAACCCATTTATTTCAATAGGTGTAAAACCAGACCCCATCCCTCTAAGCACACAGTAAAAATTTAAAAACCAAGCAAACCTAAGCCTTGTCATTTGGTCTGCAAAGAGCTGACATGTTCCAAAACCTGATGTCTCTAACTGCAAGAAAACTGAAGAAGGCCAGCTGCAGTCCAGCATCTACTTCACAGCACAATTCCTGCCCTAATATGAGTGTTATGTTCTTATCCCTAAGGAAAGGGGAAATTAAGGGAGAAAGCACCAGACATTTTAAATTATTATATTAGATTAATAAAAAGAGATTCCAGCCTAAGAAAAGAGAACAAATGGCAACTGAGAAGCTGAAGCAGCAAAGGAAGATTGGGATGGGTGGGGCATTAAATATACCTTAATGTATTTGTAACTTTCTCTTTCTGCAGTCTGGTACCATAGATATTTGCTGCTGTACGAAACATATTATTATTCCTAACCTTATCTGGTGGCAAAGTTGGCATGTGGTGGTGATGCAGCACACACTCATTCAAGTCATATCTTAAAACCAGGCAACTCTGACATTTTAAGAAGTACCAAGCTCTCAAAAATGTTACTTCATCAGCACTAAGTAAATAAGAGGGCTGAAGAGCTAGTCTGAGAGTTTGTATCACAAGGCTTAGAACTGGAAGAAGCACATTTCAGTGTCACTGATAACCAGCAAAATTCAGCAGCAGCAGGGAGAAATGCTGACTCTTGGGAGTAACAAAAATGGGAAGGTAAACCCA